CTAAGAGCTGACGTGTCTCGAGTCGCTTCAGTCCCTGCACTGTTTTTTGGATCTTCACCTTGTTTTCCTTCTTTCTTCTTCACGTTGATGATGACTTTTTGGTGCAAGAGACGGAAAATATACACGCCGAACGGTGAACATGGGTGCGAAAACTTTGTGGAGGGGGGAATCACGAAAGTTATCAAGAGTTATGAGGAGGGGCCACTTCAGTAAAATAACATTTAAAGGGGAATCAACCGTATCTTACCGTTTTAAGCACAAAATCCTCCGATCCCCCCTCCCCAGGCGATAAGTAATGACTGATCTCATAGGCCGTCTGAGCCATGTGACAATGTACCCTCCCCCTCCCTCCCCTATTGTTCATGAATTAGTGCGAGCTAGAAGTGCATTCACTGTTGCCAACCAAGGGAACGCACAAAAAAAAAATCACTTGATAGGTAGCCCAGGGATGGTCATTTATAGGAGTTTTTTATTAACAGGTTAACATGTACTTGTGTTTGCACGTTCCTCTCACACACGAGTTAAGTTAAAACATATAAATACCACGCCAGACTTAGGAAACTTCTATTTGGCTGGTGGCAAAGTATAATAGGGGGTCTTCATGCGAGACAATATGTATGCAAATCTGTATTTCATAAACAATAGATTCATTGAAAAACCATTATAATTTACTACAACTGCGTTGGTTAAAGTAGATCAAAACATTTTAGGAGTGTTGTCCTTGAACTGATTCTTCGCATCTTCTCAAATTTATTGTATGAAAGATTTAAGATATACCGTAAATGGCTCAACGACAAGGATGTTGCTCTTGCTTTGGGTAAGTAAGCTTCGCCAAGCCCCAAGGGGCGATTTTCTCGGTGTATGAAAGCAGTTGTAAACATCAACACATGAGTCGAGTTGTCTTTTCGCTTTGCTTAGGAAAGTTACGAGGTCGATGGCAAGAATGTTGCGTCTCTCGATACGTTAGCAAAAGAATCGAAGAAGAAAAATGCATTCATTCGATAATTTCGTCGGGTTTTGTTGGTTCTTCATCGATCAATGCTTGCAGCGAACACATATATTGGAATATTTTATATGATAGGTACTCTGTGATAGGTATATTAGGTTTGTCAGTCTCCTTTTACAGAAAAATAAACGAAAAATAAAAAGCAGTCGTTCATAATATAATAAATCATTGACGGAAATAATCGTAAAAGAAGGAAAAATCGAAAACGTAGCAACGATTTTGGTTCGCAGAGTTGTCTTTTTCTGATTTACTTACCCTAGCAACCGCTACCAGAATAAACAATGCCAACTAGCAACCTGCATAAAATACTTGATTCAAATTGATTTCTCCAGTTTAATTTTATTAAATAAATGTATAGACAAAAAGAATGGAACCCGTACAGTAATAAATGAATAAACGATAAGATTTTTAACTTTTTGTTTTCTTCACTTTTAATTTGGTCTTTTTTTGAAATTCTAGTGTATGCCGTATTACTGATCATTACTAGCTAGAGTTGCATTGAAAAATCGAGCATGGCTTTATTTACAACTAGACATTATTTAGAAGTGATCAAAACTTAGAGTCGCGGGTCTTTGCACAACGTTTTATGTAATTAAAACTTCTTAGGTTGTTCATCAACACAGAAGTTTTAAACTGATTATGGACAAGAAGGCTGATCTGTGGGTTTAAACTGCAAACAGCTATGCATTATGTTAGGGCCCTTTTGAGCTGGGCTGATGTAAAGTGAACGCAAAATTCAGCAAATATTAAACGAAGCGTATAAAAAAGTCGAGTGCTGTATGAAGCATTTAATTAGAGCGAGTTCAGTTTATTAACTTAGGAACAAGAAGTCTCTAATCCCTTTAATTTTCGAATGGAGTCCTCTGGAATCGCAAAAGCGCAATTTCTTAAAGAAAATCAAAGACAGTAATTTTAAGAAGTGATATGATTAAGGAAAGAAAAAATGCACTTTTGAATTAATAGTTCTTTCTCTTCTACTGTGATCCTTTCAAAAATGCACATTCGATCCGTACTTGAATAGTTGTCAATAGGAACTTAGTACAGTGAAAACCGCATAAAAGAACACGTGTTTGGGGGGTTCAGGCTGATTTTGTTCTTATATATCGGGTGTTTTCTGCAAAATCAGCGTGAAAATGTTCTTAAGGTGTTCTTAACATTGTTTCTAAAAATTGAATACTGCATAGACTACTAACAGATGAAATCACTGTGCAAGCACAACATTTTAATTAATTAATGGATGGAACTAACCTCAACTGCATTCATCAACGCAGTAATATATTAGGGGAGGGGTAGCAGTTCTGGTGATAAACAACTCGAAATTCAGCAAAAGTCAAGCAAATTCAAAATGCACCAGCTCCCCCTCCCTCTCGATGTAACTATTTACTGTACCCTAGTAGGTTATATTCTAATCTAACTGGCAGCCAATTTTTTTTTTTTCTTTTTTTTTTTATAAGAACAATTTTCATTTTTCAGGCTGAGTGTGTTCTTATGTATATGGTACTTTTTGGACCAAATTTCTGACAGCCTGAGTGTTCTTAATCCTCTTGTTCTTTTATGCGGGTTTTTACTGTAGATTCTTTTCTTGTGTGCAGCAGAACACGCGTGCAGCGGCAGCAAGTAGTCATTTATTCACAGTTTTAAAAAAAAAACATGACAGTAGAAATCTCACCTCTCATTTTCCATTTTGGCTTGTGTGTCCATTTGCTATATGTATTCAATTCTAGAATTCGTAGATCAATTTTTCAATATGAATAAAAACTCGACAATGGGACCTTCTCATGACTGCAGGAGGTTTGTTCTTGACGCCGAGAATTGGCGCCAAATGGTCTCTTACGTGGTCTTAAGTCCAACCTGCGTGGCTGGCGGTTCTCCTGGTGCGTTTCTTCGTTTGTGGTTTGTGAAGTAAGGGACACAGCAGCGCGACAGCTGAACCAAGGCCAAACCCGCAAAACGATGGGGGATGGGGCGTTTGGAGAAGACCGCCAGCTACGCAGGCTTTCTTACGTCCCTTGATGGACGTAGCATAGAGCTTTGTCCAGGGAAAAAGTCCAGTCCAGCTAAGAATAAGCCAGGAGGCTGAGACTACAAGTTACTTGCTTTAGAATGCGAGGGGCCTGTTTCAGTCAGTTGCAGGGCTAGAGCGAGAAAGCATGCTTTCTCCGTGTAGCCCTGCGGCTAACTGAGCTTTTCTTCGCTCGATCCCAGTTAAACATGCTCGGCCGCGCGTCAATCCCGAACTGGACTGCTAGCAGTCTAACCAGTCTTCCGCTCCGTAGAGAAAAAACGATGAAGGGGGAGGATGGTCAAAATGGAAAGTGAGAATTAAGATGTCGATAATTCTTTAACTGTAATATGGAATCTGACTCTCAACGTCTCTAAAAGTAAATTTTGACTGAATTTTCTAATAAATTTGAAGTTTGATTTAAAGTTTTCACGGCTTAGGCATTTCAAAATCTACTTTTTGTTTTGACTTTTCCGAGAAAGTTTGAAAAACATTTTAACTCTTCTCTCCTAGCTACTTTCGATGGCAACGCTCGGTCACCGTGAATTGAGAATTGTTCAGTAGTTTTTTGTTTGTTGTTTTTTCTGTTTTGAGGCTAAAGGTTTTGTTCTCTCTTTCGAGAATTTCAGAACACCTAAGAGAAAGCATCCAGGAAACCTAGAAAAGCCTGATTACAAAGTCTACAAGCTTTGAAAAAGCAGTCTTTAACATGATTCTATACAAAAACTTGCCGAAGAAAACAGCCGACATTTCAGGATGCCACCATTGGTTTCCCGCGCAATGACGTCTGAGCAACGAGCGCAGAAATTGCATTCTGCACTACCCATATCTGGGTAGTGCATCTGATTAGTTGTGCCGCGAAGTGAATTTGCCTCAACCAATAAGAAGCACTAGCCAGATCTGAGTAGTGACCCGTCATCAGTATGAAACTTCTTCAGTCGCTCCTTAGAAGATATTTCGAGCGGTAACTAGTGGTAGGGTCGCGAAATGTCGCTTTTTTGTTAGGCTATGGAATTGGTAGGTGACGACACGACAAATGACAACATGCCAATTCACTAATGACTTTCTTGTTTTTCATTCATTGTTTCAGAAAGACGCACGAGACACGAGTTGAGCCTGAGGGACAGCCGGTCACTTTGCGGTAAGTATATATTGAGCCTCTCATCCCCCTCCTGCTACAGAGCGGCGGATACTGTACCAAACAAAGTTTCCTTTAATGTCCCGCGTGGATATACGAAGTTCCTCTTCGAGTGTTGAGATATTTTTCAACACGAGAAGAGAATCTCCAAACGCGGTGCGTGTAACGTTCTATTTATGATCTTTTGTTAATAAGTAAATTGTTGTTGTTATTTTGTTGTTGTGTGAACACCAAAGAAATACCAAAGCCCTTTTTTTCTTTTCTTTTTTTTTCGTTGTTTGCTTCTTCTTTTTTTGCTGCGATTTATCATGTAACCATTACAACGGTGATCTTTTCACGAGTAAACTGTCTTGTTTTTGCGCAAAAGCTCACCTGGCATGATAAATAAAGACTAATGCTATTTCACTCAAGTAAAATAACACATTATTTTACTTGAGTATTAAAAATTTTAAACTTTACCATTGCTATAGTAGTTATCATAACCCAAGGTTGAATTTCGCAACGATTGGAATTAAGCTGTCCCTAAAAAAAGAAAAAGAAAAGAAAGGAAAATACCTCCCCCAACCTGCCCGGAAATAAAAAAGATCCTTGATAGCTTGATATGTAAGTGTATTTCTTTTCACTAATTTTAACAGGAATGATCAAATAGAGCCTGCACCGACAAGAGATTTGCCGAAGCCACCAAAGTACGTAAGCGCCGAGTATCTATCATTAGACAAGTTACATACATACATAAACTTCATTTTTCCTCGAGTTAAAGAGGAAAGGTTACGGAAAGTTAATTGAAAATAATACTACGTACAAAAACGTTAACGTAATTACGCTATATACAAAAACGTTAACGTTAGAACGGTTTTCATTTGAGTGTCGAAAAGTAATTGGTTTTGCACTTTCTACACGATGCGATTGGCTTAAAAGATTCGCGCCACCTTTTCATCCAATCAGAAGTAAGACCAAAGCCAATTGTGACGCGCTCGCATGCATTTGCGTCAGCCACATGTAATTACTTCGAGTTTTGATTGGTTCAATGTATTGTCTGTGTCCTATGTGATTGGCCAGAGTAATTACTTTGGTTTTGGTTTTACGACACTCAAACGAAAACCACTCTATTACGTTAGTTGCAATACACTTATGACTAAACTATGCCACTGCTGGGGAGCTCAAGCGATGTAGTGCACCAAAAAGGGGAGATTTGCTTTTTTTCGTTTCTATCGTCGTCGTGGCTGCTCTGCTAGGGAGCTTTAGCAACGACGACAGCGACGGGCACAAGAACGTCAAAAAGCAATTGGTAAGATCAGCAAGAAAGCAACTTCACTTAAACATTTCGTTGCTGTCACTGCACCACTACGACGTGAATTTCCCTTAAACTACGTTTTATGGAGGGCGTAAACACAACACTACAAATTTCTTTTTCTCTCTCTGAACTTAAGTGTGGTCACCTACATTTGAGATTTTAACGCGAGTCGGAATATTCGCGACGAAGTATAAAGCGAAGTCTTGTAAGTAGTGACGTTTTCGCTTCGGCGCCTTCGTGGTTGCTAAAGCTCTCTCTATATAAGGAAACTCAAGGCGGCAAAAAGGTAACTCAGAAGATAACCACCATGCAAAACGGCGCTTGAAGAGCAGAGAAGAAAAAGCTAATTCTTTTTGGATGCCTTACAACAATTTCTACATTTTGCAACAGCATGACCATATCTGTGCCATTTTGCGAACAAGAAGTAAACAAGCAGTTAATATTTCTTTCTGCGTTAATAAGACCGAGTACAGAGGAGGAAGATGGCGGTCTCCTATCTAATTTTTTTTTTTTTTTTTTTCAGGAACGCTGAACTTTCGCCGCCTGCCCGGTTACAGCAAGCCGAGTATGTATTATTACTTATTTCTTCACTAAAAATTTCTCACAATGCATAAGATACTGTGGCTGTCAGGCCTAGGCCAAACGTCGAACTTTTCATGAGACGGACAAATTAAACTCTGCCTTGGGTCCACCCAAATTAAGTTAAGATCGTCTGTTAGGTCAAACGTCGAACTTAGGTCGCGTCGAACCAATCAACTGTATAAGACCAAAAAACAATTTTAACCTGCCATGCCAGTAATACATTTTCTCTCTAACGAGGCTAAATATACATTATCATACAAAATTTTAATTTGTCCATTCAGTTCGTTGCATGTGAAGATCAACGTATGTCCCGGAAGCAGACGTACGGATAGAACGTGTTGGACGATCCAAACTCATTCAGACGAACTTAACTGAGCCAGACGTCGAACTTTTCATAAACATACCGTAAAATTCCGAAAATAAGCCCCGGGGCTTATATTTTTCAAAGGCCCTTTTTGAAATTTGCGTTTCAAAATCGATTGAGCTAGCCTTATAGTTGAAAGTAAATTTATCATTTTGGCTTTGTTTTACTTTGTATTCAGGAGGGCAATTTTCCAAGTACAAGCCCCCGGGGGGCTTATATTTGGAGGGCGATTTAACTGAGGGTTTTTTGCGTTACCGGTTTGGGGGGCTTATACATGGAGAGGCTTATTTTCGGAATTTTTCGGTAACTCACTGAGTTTTCGCTCGTCTCATGAAAAGTTCGACGTTTGGCCTAGGGCTCCGCCAGTCTGATCAACTATTTTGGAATTGTTGGAATTTACTCTCCTTTCCAACAAAGTAAAAAGTGGGTCTGAATTTGAGTCACACTGGCCAGTTTTAATATCAGCAGAAAAAAACAATGTCAGTAGAAATCTTTTTTGTTTGGAATCCTTCGAATCGCCTCGGAGTTTTAAGAAAAGGCGACGGGTCAATTTCGGAAACTTTTCAGGTAACTTCAAGATCGAGACTACCCGGTGAAAGGCTTATGTCCTGGTTAAAGAAATCTTATGTCCTCCTTAACATGTCAATTTTCATTTAGCTTATATATTAAGAAATATTAAAGGTAAAATACAAAAAAGGGAAAAACTTGACATTTGTCAGCTATCTTGACTCTTAGCCTGTGTACAACCACTCTCAGAAAAAATCAAAGAAGGGGCCCCCTCTCCGATTTTATCTGAAGGCTGAAGGGAGGGGTTGGGCTAGGGACTCCATGTGCGACCAACTCTCGTAAGCGACCATCTATACAAAAAAACAAAACTTTTTCCCAGTCAAACTTGCAGTTGGAACCTCTGATAAACGGCTACCACTCGTACTGTGCTGCCGCGATCATTTCCTGTCATTTTGGGGGTTAATTACAGTTTTCTATCAATTTTGCTTTTTTTTCCTAACCGTCTTGTAAGCGACTATTTGACAATGGTATGATCTTTATGTTCCCTGTATGTGCTGTGCTTCTCAGATAATACAAAAAAACGCACTTTTATTTGAGTATCAAGGTATTTAGCACGCAAGTACTAATTGGGGACACTATTTTTACGTCTCCAACTGGAGACGGGACCGCCATTTTACGTGGTCATCAAAGGGCGTACCTTCATTTCTCAGTTATTTTAAGACCCTTAGGCTTGGTCCGGCCCCAGGAATCGAACCCGCGACCTCCCGCTCTGCGCCAAGTCAAGCGCTTTACCGACTGAGCTGGTGATAACAAGGAGCTACCGCATATCGTAACTCTTCGAAAAAGCGCAGCTTTCGGGACCTCTTACTCGGAAGAGACTCTATGTAGTTCGATTCTCGTAAGTTTAAACCTCCTGTAAGCAACTAAAACTGATCTTTATTAACTATATAATAATAATTGATTATAAATCAGCGTTCGTCTTATTCTACAAGCATGACATCTGCACGAAAACGAGACTAAAGAAAACGAAAACGAGTCCAATGGAGTCCAGTTTCCTGCGGCCGAGATGCCCCTGATAAAATTAATAGGGGCGGCTAATCGGCAGTAGCCCGTGATAGCTCGAAAATTTCTGCCTTTGTACCACAGGAACACCAGATTTGGATGCGTTCTGAAGAACGTGACAACTGCAGAACAAAATCCTATTTGCTTTTTTTACTTCATTAGCAGCGGGGGAAAGTCAAAACTTGGTGAAGGCTTAGAGGGGAGAATAAATACAATTTCCGATGAGGAGTTCCGAGAGCGAAATGGTGCACTACGAATTCAGCAGGAAACGGACGAAAAAGGTACTATATTAAGTCTGCCTTAATCCCGACCGGCCACTATGCTCACTTAGGCCCGGGTAAAACACTGTATTTTACATGAGACCTAAGGCTTGGAAACAAACAATTTATTTTCTACAGCAACCAAGTTAATAACCAAAGCAATAAACTTCCATCATGAAAAAAACAGAGAGGCCCACAGAACAGATGATTACGAGATACAGGAGCTGATTATCAGGAGAGGACAGACTTTCAATATCACTGTGACGTTTAACAGGGAATACAGTCCACAGGATGATGTCATTATTGTACAATTTGTCACAGGTATTCAGACTGAATTGTTTGCTTTAGTTAATTTTCAGAATAACATATTATCCGGCGTCCGTTTGGGTATTACATTATAGTTCGGAAGGAAATGGCAATAATGAACAACCCTGGGGACTCCAGACAAAAATTGACTGATTGCACAAGATTAAGATGGCGGAATAGAGCTTAGGCAGTGCAAATCCAAATCGCGTTGTAGGTGATATTCTATCACTGCCGTCCCTATTATTAGAGAGATTAAGAGTCACGTTTACGGCAAACGGCAAACGTCAGATTCAAGTTGAAAATTTGTCAAAATAGAAGTGAGAGGAGAAAAACTGTCCACAACAATTCTTATGGATGAAACTGGCGTGAGACCACTTAATTTTGGGTGGAAGTAATAAACAGTAAACGGCAGTTAAGGAGGAAACTTGATCACGTGGTACAAATTCACGTTTGCCGTTTGGCGTAAACGTGAATCTTAATCTATCTATTGTCCCTGATATCACTGTTTCAGACTGCTTACGTGATTTATTATTGTTTTTAATAATAATAATAATAATGAGAAAATCAAATAATCAGCATGTCACGAGCGTGGGACAAAGAAAAAATCTGAGTCCCCGAAAGGATTCGAACCTATGACCTCCCAAACAGTGGGCGGGCGCTCTATCCACTTGAGCTATGGAGAATTCATGGAGAGCGACGCCATATACTAGGTTCATATTTATTGATTTCATGCCCAAATATCAATCCAAAAAAAAATTTTTTTTCACCTGCGCATTACATAAATTCCTCAAATCCTACTTACAAATCCTATTCAAAAGACTACATTGATGCCTATATTCTAATTCTAAAAATTCTAAAAACATGAGTAATTATTCCTTAAAATCCTATTTACAAATCTTACTGAATGATTTATAAAAATGATAGAAATAATAAATTAGCTAGAAAACGCCTTCTGAAACAAAAGTCGTACTGATTTATTTATTAAAAGGGAATAGGCCCCAAGAAAGCAAGGGATCAATCATGCGCGTGGCAATCCAAGACGAACTCACACCTGCCAAGTGGGGAATGCAAGTAAAGGAAACCAAGGGAAATGACGTCAGCCTGTCAATCATGTCTGCATCTAAAGCCATCATTGGTCAGTATGAACTTTTCGTGGAAACAAAAAGCAAAGACTCATCTGGAGAAATAGCAATGTCTCGCTACCAGGACAAGAAACCGATTTATATTTTGTTCAATGCATGGTGTCAAGGTAAGGATTTTTAATAGCCCTTATTTTCGAGTTGTCCCAAGCCTCTGGTTGCAAAGCGAGAGTAAGTGCAAAGCATCGATATAAAAATGAGTTTTCATTATCGTGCAAATAAAACTCATGTTACCACAGAAATTTCACATTATACATTTTGAAGTCTGCTCTGGAAGAAATTAAGATTAAATAACTATTACACTAAGACTTTTGAGTAACCAAGTGAAGGTAAAGAAACTTCTGCAAGATCAAGCAGCTAATGTAGAATTCATATCGTTAGGAATTGGGAGGAAAGACAGCCTTTTAAATTTCTTTCTTGACAAAACAACCTCCCACTCGATTTGTCTACATGATCGGTTTACATATATGGATTCATATTACCGCCAATGTTATGGCAAAAGAATATGAAAGACACATGACACATAGGTTGTCACTCTTGTAAAACAAGAACAGTGGGCTCTTAACTGTTTTTATGACATTCTTTTCTCATCCGGCACTGCAGAAGATGCAGTTTACATGGAAAGTGATGAACATCGCAAAGAATACGTGCTGGAGGACTTTGGTTACATATGGAAAGGTGTCAGTTGCGATGTGTCTCCATCACCTTGGGCATTTGACCAGGTACAGGTTAACTAAGGTTGCCTACCGGCTGACTCGCTACCCATTCTATCATTCTACTTATGGCACTTCACGCCTAATGCTTACTCGGCTGATATCGTAACTAAAATGTGACCAACTCACCTCTGTAAACATGGCACTCGAGCTGTCAGATCTAATGGCGCGCACATCGTGACTTTTACAGTCTCCTCGATCCCCTAAAGCTCTTTTCTCTTTTTAAATGATTAACAGCTTCATCTGAGTATACTTTATTTTGTGTGTATATTAAGTTACTGAATATACGTTTGGGTGGTTTGCTAGGTACTGACGAGGTTAGAGTCGCACTCACCGCTTTGCTGCCCCTCTTTTCATACCTCTTTCGTGCTTAGCAACTACTAGACTTGCATACACCCATTTAACAGCTAGATTGTATGCAGGATTGGATCCACATGAACTGGCTCCACACATGTACAGGCAGACTGAGTTCAAGCAAGCAAGTTTAACTGATTTATTTTTTTCTTATTCTCAGTTTGAGGACGTCGCTTTATACTCAGCTCTGTGGCTGCTGGATAAAGCTAAACTTTTCAGTCACAACAGGACCAGTCCGGTAGAGATATCACGAACCATATCAGCCATGGTAAGTTGGTGGTGACAACTTTTCCGAAGTTTTTTTTTTTTTTTTTTTTTTTTTAAAAAAAAAATTTCCCCGTTCAGGCAAACCGTAATGCGGTGCTTTTCCTTTTTTTTTCCGTAAAATCCCCCCGCTTTTTTTGTTTTTTTTTTTTTCTCATTTATCCCCACTCGGAAAGACACCACGTCGAAACCCCGTCCACTACCATCCCCCTTTTCCCCCTTCTCTCTTAAAAAAAATTTAGGACGTCGTATTTTAGCACCCAACGTGCGCACTCAAAAAGAAGAAACGTTGGAGGAATAAACACTTTTTGTTTTTTTTTTTTTTTTGTTTCTTTTTGTCGTTGGTGGGGTGGTGGTTTCTACTTTTCCGTAGTTTTTTTTTTTTTTTTTTTTTAACAGATAGAATTGCCACGTTCAGGCAAACCGTAATCGGCTGCTTTACCGTTTGCTATCCGTAAATATCGCCGGCTTTTTTAGCTTTTATTTCTTGCGCATATATCCCAGTTGGACAAGAAAAGCAGCCTCATGCAATCCAGCGAAGGGGCACATTCATCTTCAGTGTCCATCTAGTTGACTTTCCCTAATCTGCAACTGCGTTTAACGCACTTTCTTCGATTCTTTTATATGCATGAATGAAAAAGAGCATACACGATCCCTAACATATCCGACTTAACAATTTTTTTAAAAAAATCAGTTTTTACTCTCTTTTTTCATGAACGTGAAAACTACAACCTTTACACACTTAAAACGACAAACGTGAAAATGATGCACATCTATCCTCTGATCACTGTTTTGTTTACTGCTCGTGTTAACTAGGAATCTGATTTCTCTAATATCTTTTAATAACGCCCGTTTATATAGTCGATTTTTAATACATTTTTTTATACGATTTTATGGCGATTTTAAGATTAAAAATCGTATATGTGAATAGAGAGTCTCGAGCTGAACCCCGGGCAGAGATGACCAGATGATCAATTTTCCTCATTTTTCTCGTTTACAAGAACCAAACTGCACAGCAAAAGCCAAGAGACCCAAGATAGTTTCTCGCAATTTCTCTCCCAGAATATACGGTGGAACGCCGTTCTACGGACACCCGCTTAATACGGACACCCGCTTTATATGGACACTTTCTTTTGTCCCGACAAAAAGTTCATATATTTTCTCTAAAATTAGCCCTCTTTATACGGACACCGGTTAACACGGACAACGGACACTTTTCTGGGTCCCGAGTCACAAACTCTCACATATTGTCAACTCCGCTTTACGGACACTGGTTATCTGCACACTGTCATTTTCAATGTCACAATTATGTGATAATTGTAGACATTGTACCCTGTTCAAATAATGACAGATTTTTACGGGTAAATAAAATTTTATTACAGTACCAAAAAAAAACACAGTAACAAAGTAACGTGACACATTTGATTTTGAACAGTCTGTCTTTCCTCCGGTGTTTGACTCTTGTAGTACGTTTAGTTTTTTAATAACGTTTTCTGCCTCCTGTTACACACGTTTCACTTCCCTGGCTTTTTGTTGCAGTCATTGCTCTTAAAGTAAAGTCACAGACTTTTTTAAAAGAATCCACTGTCGTGGCTGTTTCAATAACAATACTACAATACTTAAAAGATTTTACTCTGAGACTATGATAAATGATCGTGAGGTTTTTTTAAGAATGAACTTGTTACTGTTACAGTTAAGAAATTAAACAAAGTTTTCTCGTAAAGCTGTCTTCTTTGGTCTTTATATCGATAAAACATGTGTTCCTGACGTTTTTTCTGAGAGCTCGCTTAATACGGACACCCGGATAATACGGACACTATGGCATGTCCCCTTGGTGTCCGTATTAACCGGGTTCCATTGTAGCTAATAAATAGTGTCAAAGTGCGGTTAGCAATTTGAAGAAACAACGAATTCGCAGAACAAATGGCAATGAAACCGCCGCAAGTTTTTACAAGCGGTTTGAAGTTGCTCATTTTAAACTCGCATAAGTAAAAAGCCCGCAACAGTTGAACGAATTCCCACCCCTAAAAACAGTTATAAAAACGTATCGGCTTTATAACTCTTTTTGACTGATAATCTGTCTCTTATTAATACGCTTTCTTGTCTAGTCCAACTCAAATAACGCAGATGGTGGGGTGCTGTCAGGACGTTGGTCCAACGAGTACCCAAAAGGCACCACAAATCCCTTGGATTGGACCGGAAGTGGGCCTATTCTGGAAGAATTCTGGACAACAAAGAAAACTGTAAAATATGGACAATGTTGGGTGTTCTCCGGTCTTGTCACAACATGTAAGTCGATGAATTAAAAGAAGTAATTATCCTGCCCGCTTGCATAAAGAGCCGGCTAGCATTTACTTTTTGGTTGTCAAGCGACTTTGATTGAGTTTACATAACGCGGTTATATTCCCGGGATGTAAGTACGATATTTGCGGCGGGTGACCCACCCAGTTTCTAAGCACGCCCGACACGACTTAGTGTCAGTGGGAAACCGTTACTCTTTCAAGCAAAACTCTAAGTAAAAACTGAAATTCAGGGTGCTTTTAAAATAAAAGAGGCACTATCGGCTTTAATTATTTTTACCTTCCAAGAGGTTTTTTGTTGTTTTTGTGTCAGACGCCAAAAAGTGATAAAGAAGAACCCTGATTCAAGGGCAATCTTATGGGGTGCGCCATGGCGCGTTCTGTCAGTCTGTCCAACCTCGGAGACTTAGTAAGTCGACTGCCCCCTGTGGTTCTCTAAGGTCGCGTTCTCTTTAATCAGAGGCGGATCTAGAGGGAGGGTACAGGGGCTTCGCACCCTCCCCCCCCCCCCACCCTGAGATGACCTGCGGCTTTCTAATTCAACTGGTATTCTGTATTAAAATTTGTTTACGTCACCATGCAGTCAGGTACGCAATTTTTCAGTGGTGCACCTTCTCCTAAGAAACATTCCGATCCGCCCTTGTTAATTAAAACTTGGGCATAACGCTTAATTTCTGATGAAATCAGATTACAGAATTTTGTAAGAGTTATGATTAAGCCTATTATATTTAAAGTTTTGTTGATTATGTATTGCGTTATAGTAATGAGAGCGTTAGGCATCCCGACCAGAAGCGTTACAAACTTTGACTCAGCCCATGACACAGATGCAAGCATGACAATTGACTATCATTTTGACGAGGAAGGAGACATGATAGATAAGATGAATGACTCCGTGTGGTAAGTATAACTGCAGTACTGCCATCTAGTAATTTACATTATGCCTAACGAAGTTTCTTCAACCTTAAAGATTGAATAAATTACGTTTGTAGATTTGAAGTACTGCCAGTCTTATTAAATCGACGCCGTTGCCATTAGCTGTTAACAGCGAGCCCTTGGAGGAAATGTATTATTGATTTCATATCTGGACATAGTAAAAAGTACTGATCATTGTAATATTTAAATTTCGGTTTTTTAACGTTTATATTTGTGTTAGATAGAAAAAAGCTTTTAGTTAATATGCCGGGAAGTTTGTATTATCTTATTATCTATAAATCTGCTTTTGTGCCTTATATTGAAGGAACTTCCACGTGTGGAACGAGTCATGGTTCAGACGTCCCGATCTACCTCTTGGTCATGATGGATGGCAAGTCTATGATGCCACGCCCCAAGAAACCAGCCAAGGTTGGGCAAGCCTTATGCTGTAATGTTTTATCAAGACCTTTGCTTTTTTGCCATTGCTGCAGTTAATTAGCAATAACATGCAGCCTTCGTGCTTTATTTTATTCCGAACCTAAGTTAGCAGTCAATAAACCGCCTGCAAGGCCAGCAAAGAAAATTTCCGACAGATCTTACTTGAACAGACCTCGTTTACGTTCACCCAGGTATAATCGTTTTTGTAACGTGTCTAATTTTTTAGTCCTTACCTCGTTAAAACTTTCCTATGGCTCTGTTGTTGTAAACACAGTTTTTCATACTACTTATTGACAATGACTATCCATGGTTCACTAAGCCACCATAAGCCAAAAATCTGAAGCGTAGTGATTTAAGAATAAGGAGCACGAAGTCTATATAAATGACAATTTTTTGATACGGAAATTGATTGATTTGCCATAATATATTTCTCTCTCGTCCAGGTGTTTTCCGTTGTGGACCAGCGTCTGTCAAAGCGGTCAAAAAAGGAGAGGTATACCTCCCTTACGACACAGGCTTCGTGTTTGCTGAAGTGAATGGTGATCGTGTTTACTGGGATGTTAACAAAGAGGACGGTTCTATGAAACCCACCAACGTGAGCAAGAAAAGTATTGGCTCTTTCGTTAGCACAAAAGCTGTGGGCAGCAACTCAAGAGATGACATAACCCAGGAATACAAATTTCCAGAAGGCTAGAACAGTCACTTCGTTTGCTTTCTTATATTTAAAGCTTTCTTTCTGTGCTGCTTCCAGGCTCCGAACTGAGAGAAGTGGGCGAATTCAGGGATGAGATCGCCCCGCTCTAGTTAAGATGGCCTCTCTTCGCTTATGAGTCTTTGTTTTAGTTCAATATAAAGGGAATCCCTCTGCACTTCTCTCCTGGTTTCAGCACTAAATGGTATATAATTTTGTAGTGGTGTAACGATTAATCGAATTCTCGATTAATCGCGATATGACCGTTCGGTTCGATTCACGATTCTTTGCTTCCACATTTCGATTTTGCTTCGATTTTTGCATATCTTTTCCAGGGTGCCCTCGGTGAGTTATTATATTGTAAAATCAGAAACCAGAACTCTTCAAAATGTGCGTTTTTGATTGACGAGCAAAGACGATAGCAGTTCGTGCGCCATTTTGTGTTGCCTGGTAAAAATGCTGTCCTTTTAATCAACCACTCCTTGAGAATTTCCAAATGAGGCAAACCATCTTTTGTCAGGTTCTCAAACATGACGACGGACCAAGCAATTGTGAATCCTCCTGTCCCTGTTACTATCTCAAATTGAGGGTTTAGGGTTGCATGTTGTTAACATTACACCTTATGTTATAAGAATTAAGAGACATTAACATGATCGAAATCGAAAGACAATAATCGAAATCGAATTGAATCGCAAGGAATATGAATCGTTACACCCCTATAACTTTGTAATATCGTGACTTCAAGGTAGTGTTTAAAGTTAACATATTTAAGAAATCTAAGAGAATGTTTTCAGTTCTTAGATCTCTTTACGTCAAACACTCCATCCAAAATCGTCTTCAGGAGCGAGAAACTTCCAGCTACTCATGTCAGGGCGTTTATGTCAACCAGTTTATTTTTAGAACGATTTGGGCGCGAATTTGGAATATCTTTTAAGTTCCACCAGTCAGCAAACGGCCAACAGGCGAAACAAAAATTATTGGTGACCATTAAATTTTAATGACTTTACTAGGTTTTCCCTTTGATATCTTACTTTCGAATGCGCTGAAAGATACGTTTCATTTTACCCTTCGAATGTTCTCAAAGCAGGAGCGCGCGTTTCATTTTCGCTGGAAAAAGCACTCGAAATGTATCTTAAAGTAAACCGATCCGTGTAAACGCTGTGACATAGGGCTAGTAGGAGAATTGCAGGCTCCTGGGTTATGGGCACCAGGATTAAAAAGAAAGAAATGTGAAGGACAGACCTTCGTTTCAGTCATAGGCCCCTTATTTAGTAACAAAGCTCAAGAATTTTTTAAAATTAATATTTCTTCGTCTAATTATTTCAGGAACTGACGAAGAGCGAAAAGCTGTGCATCTTGCATTTCAGTTCAGTAGTCGTGCTGAGCACGAACTATACGACACTAGCGTGGTTGAAGATGTCCAATTTCGATTGGAGACTGAGGACCGTATAAATCCGGGTCAAAGTTTTGAAGTTACAGTTGTGGTCGAAAACAAGTCAGAAGTAACCAGAGAAATCAAAGTCAACTTGGCAGCTGTCTTAGACTTTTACACTGGAGTTCCTGCTAAAAAAATGAAAACATACAAGCTCAAATTTCTTTTAAACTCAAACGCAGGTAAAGCACAAATAGAATTGTCGGTTCGTTTTGCTTAGAATCATAATGTTATGAACCAAAGCAAATTTGTATGGAGTCTTCAGAAGGGCAAAAATCTCAGAAATGCTAGAAATGCTAGTTTTTGGCAAATCCTGGCAAATAGGCCTTTTAGATGTTGTTCTTTTAGAATATCCTGACAAATCTCATAATTTGATCAATTTAATTTTTATGACGTCATCACTCTAGAACTCCATTTGCATTAGCACTGGTATAAGCATTAGTATTAGCGTTAGTGTTATTGATAGTGTTAGTGTTAGTTTCAGTATTAGCATTAGTATTTATTATCTATGTTATTTATCTAGAGCAAAGGTTGAGTCTAACAATTGAGCCCAGTGACTACATCACGCCAAAGGCGACTGTGGGCGATTCTTATGTCCAGCTATACGTGAAAGGTGTGGTACCTGAAACAGGCCAATCCTTTGTTGATCAGAAAATGGTGGGATTCACGAAGCAAAAGATACACATTGAGGTGAGTTTTTCCTTTATGTCATCTTAGCACCTTAGTGACTCTTCCGCCGCCGTCGCCGTCGCCGTCGTGATATCGTAGCTGCTCCCTAATGAGAGGGAAGATGAGAGAAAAACAATGCAATACGCCCCGCCCTCCTCCGCCCAATTTCCCAATACCGCCCCTCCCCCCCCCCATTTTCTCTTCCTCCCCTAATCCTTTCGACGCCTGCCACGCACGCCAATAGGTCATTTGCACGATAGCGTCATTTTATTACTACGTGGCGTCATTTTAATCACTACGACCAGAATCCTTCAGGGTATTGCTTTCTTGTACAAATTAAGGCTTTTGTTATTTGAACCTCACTGAGACTACCAAATTTAAATGTGAAAGGAAAACGAAATGAATTCTGGTCTTGGTAGTAAAAATACGTCATCGTTCAAATGGCCTGTTTCATCCAGTTCTCTTATACGTCCTCTAGTACAAAACGACAATTCTACCTCATAAAAGATATTCATATTATTAAATATTTCCCATTGATTTATTATTTTCCCACTCAGCCATCTGCAAAGAGTGCAAAAGTTGGTGATGAAGTTGAATTGACTGGAATTTTCAAGAATCCTTTACCAGTGCCCCTTACAAAAGGACACTTTCTTGTACAAGCTACTCGCATGAAACCACGCACAATACGTATCGATTGCAAGTAAGTAGTGTAAATGTACGTTCCCGAACGCGCACAAAACACGTGAATGTTTTATCGATTTGGTACCATGTTGATACTTCTTCCGGTTTGAATTCGACCTTCGTGAGAATTTCTTTTTAATTCTACAAGTAGTCCCTTTCATTATATTGCTGAACTCGCGCGCGAGTTGGCATGATGAAGCTAATCCCGTGTTCTGATTGGCTGCCCAAATGGGCAAGATGGACACATCTTCCAAGAAATGGATTTCCAGCGTCGCTCTCACAAAAAATTTTTTCTTTTGGCCATATAGTAAAAATCCTGGTGGGGAAGCACTATAAGCCATACTGATGATCCCTTTTCTGTCGCCAGATCTAATGCTCGCTGAGTCTTTCTTGGTGCCATCTCCTTAATACCCTCTGCCCTGTGTTCGAGTGCCTTTAATTTTTCACTTCTTACTTCCTGTTGTGCTAGTTTTGTGAGGGAATTCCTCAGGTAACTGATGTGACTGAGATACAATTTGTTCAACAAGGGGCTTTGTTACTTTGACATTCGAAGCATATTCGCCCCTTGCTTCAAGGGACGGAATATGTTCCTATCCAGCTGATTACACTTGCCTCAGTAGTCACAGGAATGAGCATATGAGATATTGCATTCTCTAATGGCTCTAAAAGATCTTGAATGTCAGGCAAAGTTCTTAAAAAGTACGTCCATCGATGTCTCAAGCCAAAGGTGTAGGCTGCGTAGCACGCTTGTGGTTGAGATAGAGCAAATTCAGCTAACTTAGCTATGTCATTGATCCAATTGGTCACCTTTCTTCTTCTTCTTCTTCTTCTTCTTCTTCTTCTTCTTCTTCTTCTTCTTCTTCTTCTTCTTCTTCTTCTTCTTCTTCTTCTTCTTTCTTCTAAAATTCTTTTTTCCTGTGATAGGGGACCAGTCGAAGTAAACAAAGATGCCAGTTTCTCTGCCAAGTTCACCGTAGCAAGGAAAGGAGTTCATCACATTTCCGCTCGTTTTAACTCCACTGAACTAAAGGATGTTCCTGGGGATTGTGTGATACTTGATTCAGATTAAGACACTTACTGCTTATGATAACGTCGAGTTGACAGCAAAGGCTTGTTTTCAAGCTATATAATCTGCATAACGGGTATTTTTGCCCTAATGTGAACGAGGACCAAGATCTTAAATAGACGATGCAATAACTGTGATATTTCTTTAGCAAAATCACTCTTTTTCAAACGGGAATCATTTTTCCAGGCTGCACAATTTATTTTTAAAAATTTTGGATTTAAATCTAGAAAGATACAGTCGAACCTCCCGGTACGGACACCTCTGTTACGGACAGTTTTCGATGTCCCGACAAAATTCTCATATATTTTCTTTAAAAAAAAAACTCTATAATAGGGACTCTCTCTCATAATGCGGACAACGGACACTAAATCTCGGCCCCAGAGAGTAAATTCATATAAACTTAACCTCTTTATTACGGACACTGCGGTGATCAGGTGAATCCGGGATCCCGATCAGGTGAATCTTCACCAGGTGAATCCCGTCTCGCTGATGACGTGACAACTTTTTACTTACAGCATTGCGCTGTAGCTCGTTTCGTTTTAAAGCAGTGATTTGTCAACGACAGTACTGTCGCACTTTGTAGCTGAGATGTTCAATGTAGTATGCTACTGAAAGACAGTGTCTTTGTACTGTGAATTAAATTTAAATGTAATTTAAAGACGAGTGTGAGCCCGATTTTAGCTACTGAACACTTAAAACTGTAAGTGGAGTCATAAAAGTGACGTCATGGTAGTGACCTCTTTCATACGGACACCTCTCTAATACGGACACTTTGCTCTGTTCCTTCGGTGTCCGTATTAGAGAGGTTCGACAGTAAGTGCCTCTTGGTAGGCAAGGCTTGATCTTGTCTCGCGCTCTGCACGCGATCATCACACACCCGCAGAATTCTACAGATCTCGAAGGGTGTGAAGGGGAGGTGGATAGTGGATGACACCCTCCTTGATCTGCAGAATTCTTCATATCCTACTCAGCCTCATTCAATAATTGCTAATATTTAATGTCAACATAGCAAAGGTAAGAAGTACCGCTTAACTCACAAAAGTTACTATTCTATAGCTTTCACAAATATTTTAAGCATAAAACACGTGTATATAGAGAAGAACATAAAAGGCAACAGATAAAATACAACAACACGAAAACAAGCCATGTATGGTCAGTACCAGATGTAAAATAGACAGCGCGGATCAATTCAGATCTATCAGATATTTTTAACTTTATCCATCTGTTCAAAAACCTTCTTACAAAAAGCTCATAACTTTTGAGTTCAATTTTGCAGCAAAGGTAAAAAAGGACGAAAATTATTTAAAAGAATGACATCGCAAGCATCAAGTTTATCAAACTGCATGACATAATGAAGATACTGTATACTATGGTTAATGCCGACGGCTATACCGGGAAATCGGAGTGTAATTAAACTGTCTCCAGGTAGCCAATGCAATCAAGTGATCACTAGATTCGTACGCAGTAGTGTTCATATGTCTGGTGAAAAGAGAGAAGATTTGATAAAACGGAGGCTGGCGGGCACTCAAGAAAAGGGGCGACGAGAAAAGGCAACTGGCCATTTCTTCTTCATCCCTTCCCATGAAAAATTGTGTGCCGCTATCTTTCCCAGTCTTTGCTCCCTTCAAAAAGTCAATAGTAGGAAACCACGTTTTATCCGAGTTCGTTCAACATCGGATCCAGGGCTGCAAACTCGTCACTTGTAAATTCTCGATGTAATGTTCACAAAGAGTTTTCTAAATTAGCTCGTATCAATGTAAATAGTGGATATTCTGTCACTTCCGCGCTGTACTTCAGAGAGTTAAGGCCATCGTTATCCATTTCTTTTAAAGCTTGATCCATTCTCGCCAGCCTGTGTAAACAATATTTATAAAACTGTAGATCATTACGTGTTATATTATACCTGCATTTTTGAAAACCGGGTTAGCAAAAATATAATAAAGCTCATTCAAAGGCCGATTAAAAGCCTTTATCAAACTGTTTGCTAACCCGGTTTTTATAACTCCAGGTTAATAAGTACTGAGAGGACGTGTGATTTAGAATACAATAAAACATAAGAAATGATAATACAGCCCGATAACATATGAAACGTACGGATGAAACAGTTAATTGTGTGGTGCATGTCCCTCCCAATTGTATAATCAACCTTGGCCTTTGAAAACGAAACGAAAAAGATTCAGATCAGTGAATGAAGGAATGGGTCTTGGGAAATTTGTAGTGAGTGGTCTGGTTCAAAGAGGCTTAAACCTTTTCACTTAAAACGTTGTAGGCCTGCCACCCTTTTTATATAAGAATAGCAGTTTCATTTTCAATGATGGATTTTCTTAGTCACGTGACTTGCTGCACCCATTTTTTGTTTCAATTATGCTTTTTATTTTAATTCAAATCTACACCACTTTTGAGACCTTCAAAAATTTTAATTCGTTTGCTATTTATGACTTCAAGTACGAGGTCCATGGAACTAATTGGGGTTTTTTGAAAATTAATTGTTTTCTGTAAACTGTAACGTTTTCATTTTAGCGAGAGACTGGGGTGAGAAGAAAACATTGAATTTTTACCAAGCAATAACGTACTTTAAAATTCCCTGATTAATTTGACATGTTTAGCATTAACTTCGATACAATAAAAGAAAAACTGAGAACTTTAAAGGTTTCTTAAAGTAGTGTAATTCTTGAATGTAAAATTTTGTAAAATTCTGAAGGGCGTGGCTGGTCATGTGACTTCAAAAAGTGCAATGTCAGCACCAAAAATAGTTCCTTTTATCTAAATCAAAGATAAAAGGAGTGAGAAACAAAAGAGGAAAAATAATTCTAAAAGGCAGATATCAATGAGGAGCCATTCCTTAATTCACACGAGTTCTTAATTAACAAGTTAAGCATAATTTTGTTTTTCCGTCTTTTTCCTTTTTCTTCTAAATTTAAAGCCACTTAGGACTGCAAAAATTGCATTCACATTCAACTTGAAAGTGCTTGCTGACCCAATTATATAAAAACTCAGCAATAAATAACAGTGATAAACAAAACAGTTAATCGCCAGAACAACTTGCCTTGCAGTTTTTGGAGGTTTTGTTCCTGCCACATGAAACATTTTCAACATCTTATATCTTCCTTTTTGGCTTGATGGTCGTGACAGTGTGAGTCCTTTAGCTGTTATTCTACTGGCCGGCAGAGAGGACAGAACGACAAAAATGTGGTTAATTAGTGGTTATTGATTACATTCATAAATAGGCAGCTTAAGCAAAGACGACTGCAAGGGCAACGCTAACGGCAAAAAAGCAATAGGTTTAGATTGGCAAAACAGCGACTCTGCACGTGCATCAC